TTCTGTCTGTCTGTCTGTCTGTCTGTCTGTCTGTCTGTCTGTCTGTCTGTCTGTCTGTCTGTCTGTCTGTCTGTCTGTCTGTCTGTCTGTATAACATCTTCCCCTTCCCTTTAAGAATTGCAGGTTTTGAAGACACCTGGCCCAAACTAGAGGATTGGTTTGGTGAAAAGCAAAGCATTCTGGTCCGTATTGATGCAGATGTGGACGAAGAGGAGCTTTACAAAAGGATGGAGTCTGTCCTGCAGCAAGTTTGGATGCAAACACAGGAAGGTAACATGTTTTCATTTTAGTATTATTTGAAATGTATGTAGACTCAGAATACTTTTCTTCTTTCTTACATAACATAATGAAAAAGTATTATGTTTTATCAGACACTGATGATGAAAGAAACACAATATTTACTCACAACCTTCCGATATATTCCCTCACCAGCTCTGGCTACTTCTCCCGTTGAAGATGTAATGTTGGATAGTGGGAAAGCTCCTGACTCCCCCTCTTCAGCTGAACTTCCACCTGTAGGCCAACCTCAGGACGTTTCACACGAAGCCCCCGACCCCACAGAGTCCGAAACCAACTTAAGTGAGGAAAAAGCACAATGTCTAAAGCCCCTTTCCAAAACAAGCTTTAACTCTCCAAGAAGTGATCAGTAGTCGTACATTGTGTCTTCTGACCATCGGAAAACAAGATTCTTCATCTTTATTATTGTGATGATTTAATGACTTTTCTTCTGACTTCTCAATAGGGCACTCTAGGAAGGCATCCATGTCCTCAGTGATCAATGAACCCTCTCAGGGGGTCCGAGTAAACCCACCTGAGTCTCCCTGCCCAGGTTATTCCAGATGGGAATATGTGGATGAACCCCTTCCTCCAGTAGGATACACTTTTATTAGTATTTGTTTGTTTGGCTTATCAGAGTTGGAGGTGAACTTCCTCTCTAACCACTAGATTCCACCGGGTCCGTCTGCGGCGTGTTACGGCTGCGCCGCGGTTTTTGGTCCGGCCTCCTCCGGTGTCATACCCTACCGGGTGCGTTTCAGAAGCATTTCAGAAGCGGAGCGTCTTGCCTGCCGGCTTGCAGTTTTTGTTGATTTGGACA